CCTTAACTCACTACATGTGTCAAAACTTAACTCAGAACCTACAGCTTTACAGTGGAATACAAAATTACAACTTCAACTTAAAATCAGCAGCTGCATATCATGTTTATGTATATGAACATATACATGTAGAGAAATATCAGTCTTTTATATTAGAACTACAATTAAAGGAAAATACTAGAAGTATAAGCTATCCTAACTGTTTCAGCCTATACCTGTTGAATTTTCATTCAATTCTTAAAATGGTTGTTATCATGCTGTACTTCTACTACGTGTGTCCTGCTGTTGTTAAGATTATGTTATTTATAACTCAGTCCAAAAAACTGTATAATCTGATCTGCATGTATAGGAGACTGTTGGCTACAATGTCTCCCCTTAGTTTTTATGTGCTACATTATGGTAGTCAGTATTTCAGTGGACTTAAATAAAGAAAATGTTCCTAATAAAAGCAGTGTTCAACTTGATTGGTCGAGTTCTGTCCTCTTGCAGAATTAAACAACACCCCGTTCCCCCTACATCCTTCAAGTTCGTCCAAAAATGTTTCTTTAGGCTGACAGTGCGAACCACGTTACTTGCACGAGCAAACAGTTTCACTCGCCTTAAGTGGCCGTTTGTCACGCAATCCACATTTGCCGGATGGTCTGAACTGGGACCACCAAACAAAGTCAAGTACTTACTCAACTAACGCCATGACAGTTATTCGGACTGGCCAACAGAACGGCGAAGTCTTGGAATCTTAAAAGAGAGCGAAGTCTGGAAGCTTTGTAAGAAAGAAATTTGTCTTTGTGGTTTTCTGTCTTGCTGCTTACGTCTTGTAAGTGGCCGCGGACGACTGTTGGAAAACTCAAAGAAAAATGATGTCACAGTATGTGTTTTATTCAGAGCTATGTGCCATATTAAGTGATGGGAAACGAACGATTCATCTAGTGGTAAAAGACGGGCAATTGTATCCATAAGAATTGCAAGTGTAGCAAGTAGGACGAGAGTAACTGGGACTAACTAAAAAGAGGAGAGTAACTGGGACTAGCCCAAGTTATTATTATGGGGTTAAGAAAAAGGATCCCAAGAGGAAAACCAAGATAGTAAGAAACGACAGGCGAGGAGAAACGTTTTGTGAACGTAGTTTAGTAGTTGTTTTCGCGTGATGAAAGTAGTGTGCAACATTTGGTGACCCCGACGTGACGGAAAAGGCCGTCGAAATGTCGAACGACGTCGAAGAGTTGCAGATAGATGTCAGAACTGCTATTTGTCGACTTGGCGAAGCAAGCCTCCGCGAATTATGTGCAGGGCTGCAGGTCGAAGTCAAAGAGACGAACATGGGACGCTTGACCTTGATACAACTCCTAACGAAATATTTAGATTTCGAGGAAATTGGAATTGAGGCATTAAAAAATCTCAGAGCGGTAATAAAAGAGAAGGAGGAGAAGGAACCAGTCGTCGCGAAGACTGAGGAAGAGAGTGATGTAGTAAAACTCGAACACGAGGAGAGGAAACCAGCCGTTGAACCAAGTGCGAAAATACCGACACCTGAGGAAAGCCCAGCGATCGCACCGTTCAGAAAGGAGTTCAAAATATCAGGGCAGATTGGAGATTCGCGTCAAAAGGATCGCTTGAGCTTCACTAGCCTGACCCACCAAATTGACGTCGGCTTAAAGCGAGGATACAAGGAAGAGGAAATTATCGAGGCCGTTATCCGAGCAATCAACCCAGGCCTGAGATTGAGGAGCTACTTGGAAGGTAAGCTCGATTTAGAACTTGCCAGATTACGCAAAATACTCAGGTCCCATTATCAGGAGGAAGGGGCTACGGAAGTGTATCAGCTGCTCAGTTCGGCAGTACAGGAAGCAGGGGAAACACCTCAGGACTTCCTGGTTCGCCTCCTTGATTTAAAACAGAAAGTACCTTTTGCATCGCAAGAGGCAGGATCTGATTTAAAGTATGCCCAAAGCTGGTACAATGCATGTTTCTGCATTCACTATTAACTGTGTTACGAAATGACAGTATTAAAATATCAGGGCAGATTGGAGATTCGCGTCAAAAGGATCGCTTGAGCTTCACCAGCCTAACCCAACAAATTGACGCCGTAGAAGATGAAGAGCCGTA